ATTATATACTGATAAAAGGATCTGTTGAACAAGAGGACATAACAATAATAAATATCTGTGCACCCAGTGAAAGAGCCACAAAACACATAAACTTTAATGGAATTGAAAAGACAAATAGATGACTCCAGAGTCACAGTAGGAGACTTTAATATACCACATTTACTCAAAGGTGGAACAACTGAGAAGAAACTCAACAAAGATGCAGAAGACGTAAACAATACAATCCACCAACTTAACCTTATAGATGTCTACAGAGCACTTTCCCCAACAACAGCACCATACACATTCTTTTCCAGTGCACATGGAATATACTCCAGGATAGACCATGTGGTAAGGCCACAAAGAAAGCCTCATTAAATTTAAAAACATTGAAACACTGCAGAGCATCTTCTCAGACCACAGTGCTACAAAATTAGAAATAACAATAGGAGGATCAGTGGAAAAAGGGCAAACACATGGAAACTGAGTAACACCTCCTTGAAAAATGACTGGGAAATAGAAGAATTTAAAAATGAAATTAAAAAATTGCCTTGAATCAAACGAGAATGAAAACATAACATACCAAAGTCTTTGGGACATAGCAAAAGCAGTGATCAGAGGCAATAAATGTACACAGCAAAAAAGAAGAGCCAAAAGCAATACCCTAACCCAACATCTCTAATAATTGAAAAAAGAGCAACAAACAAACAAAAAAAGCCTGCAGCCCCTAGAAGGAAAAAAAAAAAAAAATACAGAGGTTTGAGCATAAATAAATGTAACAGAAAATAGAAAGACAATAGAAAAAAAATCAACTAGACTAGATACAGTTAGTTTTTTTTTTTTTTAAGATTAATAAAATTGACAAACTAATGACAAATTTAACAAAGGGAGAGAATACAAATAACACAAATAAGAAATGAATTGGGTAATATCACAACAGAACTAAAAGAAATGAAAAGGATAATCTCAGGATACTATGAAGAATTATAGTCCAATAAATTTGAAAATCTAGAAGAACTGGAACAGATTTCTAGAAACTTTCACTTAAAGTAATACAGAATGAGGTGGAAAATTTGGGAAGAAATTATATAGGTCATAAAAACAATTACCAACAAAAATAACCCCCGCCCAGATGATTTCACTGGAGAATTCTATCAAGCAAACGTTCAGAGAAGAACTGACACCAATCCTCCTCAAACTATTCTAGAACATAGAAAAGGATAGAATCTTCCCAGATTACTTTTATGGAGCAAGCATAACCTTAATACCAAAACTAGGCAAAGATATCACTAAAAAGGAATACTACAGACCAATATCTTTCATGAACATAGGTGCAAGAATCTTCAACAAAATCCTAGCCAACAGACTCAAACACCATATCAAAGAAAACACATTATGACTAACTAGGGTTTATACCAGGTATGCAAGGATGATTCAGCATTAGAAAAATAGTCAGCATCATGCATCAGAGAAATAAAACAAAGGAAAAGAACCACATGATCATGTCAATCGATGTAGAAAAGGCGTTTGATAAAATCCAACACCCATTCCTAATCAAAACTCTCAGCAAAATAGGAATAGAAGGGAAATTCCTTGACATAATAAAGGCACATATGCAAAATCAACAGTCAATCCTGTCCGCAATGGGGAGAGACAGAAACCATTCCCCTTGCAAACAGGAACCAGATAAGGATGCCCTCTATCACTTCTATTCAACATTGCATCGGAAGTCCTAGCCAAGGCAACAAGGCAAGAAGGGGAAATCAGAGGCATCCAGATTGGTAAGGAAGAAGTCAAACTATCCCTGTTTGCTGATGATATGATCCTATAACTAGAAAACCCAAGAGACTCAGTCAAAAATCTACTGGAACTAATTGAGAGATTTAGCATAGTGGTGGGATACAAGATCAGCATCCAAAAATCAGTTGGATTTCTCTACACCAGCAAAGAGATTGCTGAAAAGGAAATAAGGAAACCAGTACCATTTACAGTAGCTACAAAAAAAAAATCACATACTTGGGAATAAATCTCACTAGCGACACAAAAGACCTGTACAGAGAGAACTACAAAACACTACTTCAAAAAACCAGAAGAGATCTACATGAACATGCCATGCTCATGAATAGGAAGATTGAACACTGTGAAAATGGCAGTACTACCCCAAGCAATGGATACATTCAGTGCAATCCCAATCTAGATCTCAATGTTCTTTAAGAATATGGAAAAAACAATCATTAATTGTATATCTAATTGAAAGAGACCTCAGATAAACAAAACACTATTGAAGAACAACAAAGTAGGAGGTCTCCCACTCCCAAATATCAAAACCTACTATACCACCACAGTAGTCAAAACACCCTGATGTTGGTACAATGACAGACACATACACTGTGGAATAGAATTGAAAACCACAAAATTGATCCATTGATGTATGGTAAGATGATTTTTGACAGTGGGTTGAAATCCATTAAATGGGGAAGAATTGGTCTCTTTAACAAATGGTGCTGGCAGAACTGGATATCCATTTGCAGAAAAATGAAACAAGAGCCATACCTCACACCATACACAAAACCTAACTCCAGATGAATCAAAGACAATATGCAACCTAAAGCTATAAAGTTCCTGGAGGAAATTATTGGGGCAAATTTCGGGGCCCTAATTTATGGCATAGACTGTCGGGCATATCTCATAATGCACAAAGAGCAGAAAATAATCTAGATGAATAGGACCTTCTAAAAATTAATTTTTTATGGGCCTTAAAAGATTCTCCAAAAGAGTAAAAAGAACTTACAGATTGGAAAAATATTCAGCAATGACATACCTGACAAGGGACTTCTCTAAAATTTATAGAAAACTCCAATACTTCACCAACAAAAAGAGAAACAATCCAATCCAAAAATGGGCAGAAGACATGAATAGACATTTCACCAAAGAGGATATTCAGGCAGCCAAGAAACACATGAAGAAGTGTTCATGATTATTAGCCATTACTAACCAACTCACTGCTGTCGAGTTGGATCAGACTCATAGTGACCCCCTCCTTGAGTTTCCAAGGTGGTTATCACTACAGAAGTAGATTGCCCAATCTTCCTTCCAAGGAGTGGCTGGTGGGTTTGAACCTCCAGCCTTCTGATTGGGTGTCAAATGCCTTAGGCGCATTATAAGGTATATATCCTAAAGAACAGAGCAAGGACAAGAACAGATATATGCGCACATATGCTCATTGCGGCACTGTTTACAGTAGCAAAAAGACAGAAGAAATCTAGCTGCCCATGAACGGAATAATGGATAACCAATTGTGGTACATACACACAGTGGAATGCTACGCAACACTAAGGAATAATGTAGAATCTGCAAAACACCACATAACATGGATAAACTTGGAGGACATTATGGTGAGTGAAATAAGTCAGTCACAGAAAGACAAAAATACTAGTTCATTATTCTAAGAAGTCAGGGAAAGGTTTCTCTATGGAAGGAAACTTTCATTGTTGGTAACTAGGGTTGGGGGGGAATGGGGACACTTCAAAAACAAAACAAAAAATAATAAAGGAAAGTAAATAAATTCTTCTTATTATCTTTGGAAGGAAACTTATTGTTGGTAACCAGGGTTCGGAGGGGAAGGGTGAGAACACTTGAAAAACAAAACAAAAAATAAATAAAGGAAAGTAAATAATTTCTTTTATTATTATTATTATCTTTTATTCCCTTAATCATTTTTTTGCAGTAGGTCTGTATTTATTTTTAATTTCATTTTTATCTTTAAAATACATTTTATTGAAATACAATTTATGTACAATGAAATGCATAAAACTAAAGTGACATGGGTCAATGCATTTTTTAAAAATACATTCTTAAAGATACAATTGTTTGAGGCATGCAAGTAGGTACTAATGCCTAAAATATATTTGCAGAGCATTGATAGTTTTACTACAGTCACAGTGCCTACATATGTTCTAGGAGCTCTGGTAGTATAGTGCCTAAAGCGCTTGACTGCTAACCAAAAGGCTGGCGGTTCAAACCCACCAGCCGCTCCTCAGAAGGAAGATGGGGCAATCTACTTCTATAATGATACTACTTTGGAAACCAAGGAGGGGTTGCTATGAGTTGGGTCCAACTTGATGGCACATAACAACAACATATGTTCTATTCTTTCTCCAGCTAGTGGTCACAATAGTGATAAAAGAAGTACCAACCAGAAAAGTAAACTCATGGAGTCAGTTCTAACCAATGGCAACCTCCATTGGGTTTCCATCGCTGTAACTTTTATGAAAGAAGACTGCCTTATCTTTCTTTAGTGGAGTGGCTAGTGTATTTGAACCACTGACCTTTTGGTTACAAGCCATCTGCCTTAACAGCTACACCACCAGAGAGCTCCTTAGAGGCTTAGGAAGTAGTGCCAGGGTCTTAGAATATAATGGACACCTGAACATTTAATAAGTCCTCAACATTGATTAATACTGAAGAAAAGCAGTTTCTTTTTTGAAGGTCCTTAAAAAGTATAGAAAATAAGCACATCTTTGGAGAGAATACTTAAACAATGTTCACATTATGCATGTTGTTGTTAGGTGCTGTTCAATCACTTCAAACTCATAGTCACCCCCTGTGCAGAGAGCCCCTTAGGGTTTTCTAGGCTGTAATGTTTAATGAAGGAGCTCTGGTGACATAGCAGATAAGGCACTTGACTTCTGGAAGGTCAGCAATTCAAACCCACCAGCCGCTCTGTGGAAGTAAGATGGTGTGATCTACTTCTCTAAAAATTCAAAACCTTGGAGACCCAGTGAGGGTTGCTGTGAGTCAGAAATGGCTCAATGGCAGTGTGTTTAATACGAGTAAATCTCCAACTCTTTTCTCTTGCTGAGCTGTTGATGGATTTGAACCACTAAACTTTTGGTGAGCTACCAAGCACTTAACAACCATTGTACCATCAAAGCTCCTATATAAAGCTTCTAAAGTATAAATTATTTCAATGTGTGATAAAGTTTTAATTCCCTGTTATAATTGTGAATTTTATTTAACAGGTGTTCCATTTGGTTTGAAAAATACTTCAAGTCTCAGGCCCTTAAATCTACTCCAGGTAAACCTGAAATTAAGCTTTTGATCAAAGTTTTTATACTTCAGTTTTTTTTTTTAAGAAAACAACAACAACATGTATCTGTATATATTCAACATTTGAAACTTAAATATTTTTCAGAATCTTCTAAGAGTGTGGTTATTAATGGTCAAGTGATCAAGGAGGAAGAATCAGTGTCCTATATACGTTATTTTTATTTTGTCCAATACCCCTGCCTAATCAAGAACTAGCTGTTCCAACAAGGAGAATGGATACTAAGAGGAAGAATACTTGGCCTATAATAGCAGTAGTATGTTGTTGTTTGTTGTTATGTGCCGTCGAGTTGGACCCAACTCATAGCAACCCCTCCTTGGGTTTCCGAGGCAGTATCACTATGGAAGTAGATTGCCTCATCTTCCTTCTGAGTAGCAGTACATAGAAACCAATACTACTTTACATGTAAGATTCCTCCTTAGATATTTCCCCAAGTTCTGGGCCTTTTTGTACCATAGCACTTTCAGGAGGGCTAAAAGAACTACTGTTATGGTCCAAGAAATAGTCAAAACCAAAAAATAAACTGCCACTGTTCTTAGCATTACCACCAGCACACCACATGTTCTGTGTACTAGGTCACCTGTCTTTTATAGCAAGTTAGCATAACAATTCATTCCACAAAACTTTCAGACACCAGGAAGAGAAGGGACAGAAAGAATTCTATTAAAACAATGATATAAATTTGAAGGGAAAATATTGTAAATTTAATTATTTTATCAAGAAGAAAACACTAAAAATATCCCTTTGCTTTGCCCTTGGGCAAGCAAGAAAAATTGAACAGTTTTATGCATCCCTCCCACTCCCTGCCCCCCAAATAAAAAAAAAGATCTGCTGGAACAGTCCTTAGTGCCTGCAGCCCAAGTCAATTTATACTCTTGGTAAGTCAGTCCAAATTCTAAAGGCATCAAACATTTCCCTGTTAGAACAAAGGGAAGAAAATCCATTTTGGGACAAAGTTATTGAAGATGAAGGAAGGTGTGTCTTCAGTGTGAGAACTGCCTGCTGTCAGGTGATTTCTTGCTAATGTTTTTAAAGATCCTGGACTTTTCAACCTTTTTGGCTTTCTGGTAGCCAAATCCACCACCTTCTCCTCGCTTTTTAAGTTTGCCTTCATTACTGTTCACATTCAGATCAACCAAAGAAGCCACCTTTAAAGCAAAGGACAGAGCAACTTGAGGCAAACTCAAATTATTAGCATTAAAGATTTGTTTCAGAGAATGGGAATCATATGCTCTAATATATGACTTATATGCTTCCTGGGCTCACTTCCAAAGTAATTCCTCTTTCACAAGACATTTTGTGTATCCATATATGTTTGCTTATATGTTTGCATATATGCTTGCTTACAACAGATGTTGTGCTCGAATAAAGATTTTTAAATTAGCCATATGCTCTTTTCCTAAGGAGAGTATTATTTTTCATAGTTTCAAGCACATAGTAGTCATTTAATTAATGTTTGTAGGATTTAAAAGACAAAGCAACTGTTGCTGTCATTTACAACTCATAGCAATTCGATGTGTGTCTAAGTAGAACTGTGTCCTGTAGGTTTTCAGTGACTGACTTTTCAGAAGTAGATCCTAAGCCTTTCTTTTGAGGTACCTCTGGATGGACTTGAACCACCAACCTTTAAATTACCAGCATAAAAAGTATCCAGTAGTGAAGCCTGTCTTAAACATACAACTAGTATCAACATATTCATAAAGAAGTGTAGAAGATGGAGAATTTAGTATACATTGTGAACCTATAATACAACTATTATGATAGGTCTTTTAATTTAGAGGATGAAGTGTGATACTAGGCTAGGAATTGGGAGATTGGGTGGGATTATCTATAGGTAACTTAGAAAAGGTAGACATAAAATTCTGGAGACATGAAATGGCCTAACTATGGAATGTTGGGAAATAACAATAACACTAACCTGGTGTTCAGAGTAATGAAATTGGGAAATGCATTTAGGGCAAAACTTAATAGCATAGTGCCTAAGGCACTTGACTGCTAACCAGAAGGCTGGCAGTTCAAACCCATCAGCCACTCCTCGGAAGGAAGATGGGGCAATCTACTTCTGTAGTGATACTGCCTTGGAAACCCAAGGAGGGGTCACTGTGAGTTGGTTCCGACTCGATGGCACATAACAACAACAACAAAGCTATATCAGTATTTGCAGACTGTAATTGCAGAACAGCCTAATTGGTCTGTGGATAATACTGCAGATGACATTGGTTTATTTAACCTACTTTATTGCATATTGCTATTAGAATTTGTCTTAGAGCAGAATTTCTTCAAAACATTGTTAGTAAGGAATAAGTACAAAGTCATTTTATAAGTTAATTACATTTTGCTACATTTATTATTTAAGTGATTAAGAAAGAGAGATCAACCTGTGCTTGTGTCCAAATTTACCTCATAGTGAACTGTGCCATTGTTAGGTGCTGTCAATTTGATTTCTACTCATAGCAACCTCATGTGACAGAATAGAGTTGCCCCATCAGTTTTTCTAAGCTGTAATCTTTATGGGAGTGGATTGCCAGGTCTTCCTCCTATAGAGCTACTGGGTACGTCCAAACTATGACCTGGGCTTCTTTATACTGAGCTGGGTATAGATAGTATGATCCAAGAACAACTTTTTTGACCTGTATACAGACCTAAGTGTTCTATACTTGGCATTTGCTTTTCTTTCTCCTAAGGGTAGCATAGTGGCTGAGGCACTTGACTGCTAACCAGAAGGCTGGTGGTTCAAATCCACTAGCCTTCTTGGAAGGAAGATGGGGCAATCTACTTCCGTAGTGATGCTGCCTTGCAAACCCAAGAAGGGGTTGCTGTGAGTTGGGTCCAACTCGACGGTACATACCAACAACAAGGGTTTCAAAGTGCTCATAAACCCATACAAGTTAAAATGGATAAACCATTTGGTTTTTTTTCTTTTTTTTTTTAAATTGTCACTGAAAATATACACAGAAAAACATACACCAAATATAGTACAGTGACATTGATTACTTTCTTCAAAGCGTGCAACCATTCTCCTTTTCTGGTTTGTTCTTTCCCCATTGACATGACTTCACTTCCTCCTAATAAACTTCCTATCTAATTTTATTAGTTGTTGTTAACAATTTGATTACTTATAATAAGTCCTTTAAAAGAACACAATGCTCACTGTAGCTATTCTTCACTACTTAAGCTAGACTGTTGTTTGGTTTAAAGAAAGCTTTAGGAAATATTTTTGTTTTATGGCTTTACAGTTAAAGATTATTCAGGGCAGTGGTATCAGGGATATATCTAGCCTTAATCACTCTAGAAAGTCTGATTTCCATGAGAATTTAAATTCTATTCTGCATTTTTCCTCCCCGTGATAAAGACTTTTCTTTAGAATCGTTGATCAAAACATTCAGTAATGGTAGCTAGGCACTATCCAGTTCTGGTCTCATTGCAAAGGACGCAGTTGTTTGTGGAGACACTCAACCGTACATTCCATTTCCTCCTTTATTCCTGCCTCCTCTTCCTGTTGCTCTAGATGAATAGAGACCAATCATTGTACCTTGAGGGTGGCCATTTGCAAGCTTTTAAAACCTCAGACCCTATGCAGCAAACTAGGAGGTAGAACCACAAACTAAAACCAAACTCACTGCTGTCAAGTTGGATCCAACTCATTAGCAACCCCTCCTTGGGTTTCCGAGGTGATATCACTATGGAAGTATTTTGCCCAACCTTCCTTCTTAGAAGTGGCTGGTGGGTTTGAACCACCAGCCTTCTGGTTAGCAGTCAAGTGCCTTAGGCACTAGGCCACCAGAGCTCCCAGGAGGTAGAACAGAAGTACTAAAAGTGATACTAGGCCAATTAACTGGAATGCCCCTTGAGACCATGATCCTGAAACCAGTAAACCAAATCATATGAGGTATTTTGTTATACCTGATGCATTTGGAAAACAGAATTTTAATTTTAGATGTAGAGTGACAGCAAGTAATTTTCCAATGCACATCTAATGCGTTTTCTTTCTGGCTTTAGATTTCCTCGCTATGTTATACAAGAACCCTTATCTTCTGATTTGTGGACAGTATAGAATAAACTTTAGGGATGAGTTTTCTTAATATATGCTTCTGATTATCATTATTTCATTGTTTATACTTTCTAATGCATTTAACGTGTTGATGTATAAGGAATTAAATAAAAGCAGGATGCAGATTTGGATTACTGGATATTAACTTCAAGGAACAAGATTTATGTTTGAAAGTTTTAAAATATTTAGAAGGCCAAAGTAATAGCACTTTAAACTTGTCTCTGTATAGATTTTTTTAAGAACCCACCCATTGCCATCGAGTTGACTCTAACTCAGACCCTATAGGGCAAAATAAAACTGCCTTTGGGTTTCGAAGGCTATAATCTTTACAGAAGCAGATTTTGCCACATCTTTCTCTTGCAGAGTAGATTTGAACCAGTGACATTTTGGTTAGCAGCCAAACAGTTAACCACTGTGCCACCAGAGCTTTTTGTTTTTAAGGACAGAGATCTTAATTTTTGTTGTTGTTGTTAACCAGTTTGCTCAGTACCTAGAGCAATGCCTAACACATAGGATCAAAACACCAAAAAAACAGTTGCCACTGAGTCTCATGGAGACCCCAAGTATGTAAGTGTGTAACTGTGCTCCATCGGGTTTTCAGTGGCTGATTTTTCATAAGTAGATCATGAGGCCTTTCTTTTGAGGTGCCTCTAAGTGGGTCTGAACCACCAACCTGCCAGTTAACAACCAAGCATATTAACTGTTTGCATCACCAGGGGTCTCCTATATATAGGCTATGCTTCAAGAATATTTGTGGTATCAAGAAATTTAATTTCATATAAAAATAAAGTGAAATTGGCTAATTAATTTTTGTTTAAATTCTTAATAGCTTCCTGGTGGCTCACTCATTTTTAACAGTCTGCAGCAGCAGCAACAGCACCAACAGCAGCTCTCTCAGTTTATACCACAACAGCAACCTCAGCAACCCACAACTTCTAGTCTTCAACAGCCAGGGGAACAGGTAGGCACTTTTTACCTTTTATAGGGTTTTTACCAGAATTTGCAACATTTTTTCATAACTTTTAAGCATATTCAAATGCTGTTAATATAATTTACTTAACAAACATTTCCCATAAGGTTTTTCCTTATTAACAGTAATAGTTACACATTCTTGGATGACTATTTCTAACTCTCAAAATAGCCCTCCATCTTGCATAGTAAGATACAGATCCAGGTAAGTAGGTTGCTGGCCATACAGTAGTTGGCAGGTCAGGAATTAAAACCCAGGTCTTTGTGATCCTGTAGCCCCTCTATTTCCAATACATCATCATCCCTCTGTTAATGGTATTTTGTTCTGGACCAGGCTTTGGGCTAAGCATTATTGTAATAGAGGTGTCTCTAGTATCATGAAGCTTGGGGTAGAGCGAAGACAGACAAACCAATATTTATATGCTGCCAGACAGAATGAAATTGAATAAGGACTCCATTTGTTGTTGTTGTTATGTGCTGTCAAGTCGGACCCGACTCATAGCGACCCCTCCTTGGGTTTCCAAGGCAGTATCACTACAGAAGTAGATTGCCCAACCTTCCTTCCTAGGAGTGGCTGGTGGGTTTGAACCGTCAGCCCTCTGGTTAGCAGTAAAGTGTCTTAGGCACTATGCCACCAGAGCTCCTGCACAGACATATCTAATAGTTCAGCCTGTCCACCCAGCCATCCACCTGTAGATCCATGTTTGCCTTCACTGACAATGTAGTACTATATGTGCAAAAGGGTTCATCTTTGTTGTCTGTACCTCCCATGTACATCTCTGTCTTCCTCTTCCTCGTTGCCACTGTGTTGATCACTCATGTCTGGTACATTGCCCGTCTCTTCACCCAAATCAGTATTTGTCTCTACCTATCTAAAAGTGTTCCCTCCCCTCCCCTGGTAACCAACAAAGAAAATTTCCTTCCATATATAAACCTTTCCTTGACTTTTTACAATAATGGACTAATAAATATTTGTCCTTCTGTGATTGACTTATTTCATTCAGTATAATGTCCTCCAAATTCATCCATGTTAAGCGGTGTTTTGCTGATGCCATGTTATTCTTTAGGGTTGCTTAGTATTCTGTTGTGTGTGTGTATCATAGTTTATCTGTTCTTCTGTTGATGGACATCTAGGTTGTTTCCGTATTTTTGCTATTGTAAATATTGCTGCAGTGAACATGGGTGTGCATATATCTGTTCTTGTCCTGGCTTTCACTTCTTTAGGCTGTATTCCTAGTAATGAAATGGCTGGGTCAAATGTTATTTCTAATTCAGCATTTTAAGGAATCACCATACTGCTTTCCACAGTGGTCGTATCATTTTACAGTCCCACCAGCAGCGTATGAGAGTCCAAGTTTCTCCGCACCCTTGCCAGCATTTTATTTTCTGTCTTGTTGATTTTTGCTATTAGTGCTGGGGACTATCAATTCTTTTGCTAAAGTTTCTCCAGTCAGTTCTTAGTTAGATAAAGTTTATCCTTAATAGATTACTCAGAAAGTACATATCTGAAAACATGCCATGAAACAGAGGTAAATACTATGGCATACACAACCCTGCAATAACAGTAATAACAATAATCTATGAGTGGATGCATAGACAGACACACAAGCTGAACAGGGGTGAGAAGGCAAATGTAACTATACCTACAAATACTTATATAGGTTTGACAGAGAATATTTCTACATATGTATCTTTCTATGCTGCAAATAAATCTTTGAATATAGTAGATCATAAAGGGGGGAAAGTTATGAAAACTTCTTAGCCATAACCAGACACCTTGAGAGAATGAGTCACTGGGCCTGGAGGCTCAGAACCATGGTCTTGGGGAATATCAAGGTGTATTAGTATAAAATTGTCCGCAAAGACAATGCTCTGCATCCTACTTTGGTGAGTAGCCACTGGTGTCTTAGAAGTCTGTGAGGTGCAAATACTGGTGTCTCTTCTAGAGTAAAGAAAATGAAAACTATATGGACCATGTGAACCCAAGCCTCCACAACCCTGAGACCAGAAGAACTAGATGATACCTGGCTACCACTTACATCAGCTCTGAAAGGGCTTACAGTAGGAGGACCTGGATAGAGTGGGAGAAAAATGTGGAACAAAACTTAAAATAATAAAGATGGCCAGGCTTACTGGTTTAATAGAGAATGGTAGAACCCTCAAGAGCGTAGCACTTAGACACCCATCAAGCCTAGAACTGAACCAACTCCCTTGGCCCAACTTTCAGCCAAACCGTGGACAGGCCTATAAGATGAAAATACCAGGGAGGTATATACTCCTTATAACAATCAATCATATGAGATCAAAAGGGGAGTATTTGCCCAGGGATAAAGCTGGTTGTTGTTGTTGTTGTTGTTATGTGCCATCGAGTTAGACCCAACTCATAAAGACCCCTCCTTGGATCCGAGGTGATATCACTACGGAAGTAGATTGCCCAACCTTCCTTCCGAGGAGGGGCTGGTGGGTTTGAACTGCCAGCCTTCTTGTGAGCAGTCAAGTGCCTTAGGCGCTATGCTACCAGAGCTCTCAGAATAAAGCTTAGAAGGCAGGAAAGGATAGGAAAAAAGGACTAATGGAAATGGTAAACACACGGAGGAAGTGGCAAGAGTGCTTTACATAGTGGAGAGTGCAATGAATGTCACAAAACAAAATGTGTATGAATCGTTGAATGGAACTTTGCTCTGTGAATCACCCAAATCACAATAAAAAATTAAAAGAAAACTGTGCCATGATCAAAACTGCTTTTGTCCTTAACATACGAAGGATTGCTTGTCTGGATATAAAATTCTTGGTTTCCCCTTTTACTTTGTATTTATTGGAAATATTGCCCATTGATTTCTTGCTTTGTATGTTTTTGAGAAGTCTGATACCAGTCTCATTTTCTTGCTCTTGCCTGGAGGCCCTGAGAGTTTGTGCTTATTTCTAAAGTTTGATATTTTCACTAGGCTATGTCTCAAAATTGATCTTTCCTTTAGGCCCTTGAAATTTGTAGATACAGGTCGTCTTTATTTCTGGAAAGTTTTTTTAGGTTGTAGTTTTAATTTTTCTTTTTCTAGTTAAGGTAGAAATTTAGATTGTTGAGATGAGACCTTTTCTAAAATAAATACTTAATGTAAATTCCCCTGTAAGTACTGCTTACATACTTTCATATGCATATGTTGTACCTTCATTTTCATTTACTTCAGAGGATTTTCTAGTATCTCTTTAGGTCCATGAGTTATTTAGAAAAATGTGTTGTTTGATTTCCAAGTATTTGGGAATTTTTCAGATACTTTTTTGTAATTTATTTCTAGTTTAATTCCATTATGGCCTCAAAACGCATGTTTTCAGTTATTTTTAAATTTGTTGACGTTTATTTTATAGTCCACAATATGGTCTATCTTGGTGAATATTCTATATCAACTTGGAAAGAATGTGTATTCTGCTGCTGTTAGATGTAGTGTTCTAAAAAACACTAATTAGATCAAGTTGTTTGATGGAATTGTGCAAGTCTTTTCTTGCCTTAATGATTTTCTTTTGATGTGTTTTATCAGTTGCTGAGAAAAGTGTTGAACTCTCCAGTTAAAATTGTGGAAATTTCTATTTTTCCTTTCCTGTCAGTTTTTGCTTCATATATTTTGGAGCTCTCTTGTTATATATATACATATTTGGGATTGTTATGTTCTCTTGACATTATCATTTATCCCTTTATCATTATGAAATGACCATCTTTTATTTTTGGTTATATTCCTTTTGTTTCTTTTTATTGTCAGCATATGCCTTGTCTTTCCATTTGCAGTTAACCTAAGTCTTTATATTTCTGAGTATTTCTGATTCAAAGTGTTTCATCATATCCCTTTTGTAAGTATATTTAATTCCAGTGTGATGTTATCATGCAGTTTTCTTTAGCTTTTTAGGGGAAGAATGTTTACAAACTGTGTTTTAGTTATTGTTGCTTTTTGCATGTTTGGTTTTTATGTTGTGTTTTACAATACCTCTATTACAAAGATTATGCTTTTTCTCATGCTAATTAATTAATTTATTTATTATATGCCCCCCCCCCCAGAGTTCCAAGTGTGAGTCTTCTTATTAGTCTTTCAGTTCTGCCTTTTTCTGTGTTATTTTTTATAGATGCTCGTATTCACGAGGAAAACAAGGAGTTACTGTGTACTATGTGTTGTTTTTCTTTGGTGTCTGCAGGATACTTAATTTTCCTCTATTTTCTTCTTTAGGCATCTCTGGGTGGTGCAAATCGCTAAGCACTGGATTATTAACCAAATGATTGGCAGTTTGAGTCCACCCAGAGTTGCTTCAGAATTAAGGCCTAGCAACCTGCTTCTGAAAGGTCAGTCTTAAAAACTCTGTGGAATACAGTTCTGCTATAGAAACATGGAGTCACCAGTCAGAATCCACTTGAGAGAACTAACATTTCCTTTTTTTCCTTTCACTGCCACATCTTCAGGGAGAACTAGCCTTTCTCTGTGTATCTAAATCTCACATAGAAACAGTGCTCCTCCAAGGCTGCCACTTCTAGTCTCCCTGACTTTCAAATCTCTGCCTGCATTCCATATATGGCATTTAGTTGAACTAACTTTATTGGGTGTGATTTTGGATGTGTTTGTAATTTTTTGCCACTATAAACAATGTTTGGAAGCTCTGCTAGCATAGTGCGTAAGGCACTTGACTGCTAATCAGAAAGCTGGTGGTTCAAACCCACCAACCACTCCTCAGAAGGAAGGTTGGGCAATCTATTTCCGTAGTGATTCTGCCTCGAAAACCCAAGGAGGGGTCGCTATGAGTCCCATCCAATTTGATGGCAGTAGGTTGCGTTCATTTTTTTTATAAACAATGTCTAACACTCATATATTTAATTCTGATGCTTTTATTCCTATAGATGGGTTCATAGAAGTAGAATTGCTAGACTTGAAGAGTTGTGTATTTGTATTGTTAGTAGCTATTTTGGGGATGGCTTTTTTTTAGGTGTAATAATTTACATTTTACCAGTACTTTCCCTATTCTGTTTCCCTGATAGGAGACTGACATATTTACATATGTTTAATCAGTTTCTGAAAGTTTTCTCAGTACTTTTTTCTCTTAGTTATGTTATAACCATCTATATAAAGTAATGAATTTGACTAAACCATCATTTATTGAGAGTAGAGGACAGGTAACTTTGGTTTAAATAGAGAAATTTATTTTCTGTATCCAGGGAGGTATGCTTAAAATAAATGTTTTAACATTTGGCATGTTTGGTTTGTAGTGTTATTTCAGGCATTGTATCTTAAGTAGTAATAAGAATATCTTTTATAGAACAAAAGTTTTAAACTGTGATGAAGTCCTAAGTTATTTTTTTATTATTATTTTTTTAATTAGTTGTGCTTTAGGTATAATAATTAACAACTCTTACCTAACTCTAGGACTCAAAGATTTTTCTCCTTCTTTTCCTCCTTTTTTAACCTTTGAAAGGTTTACATTTAAGTCTGTGATCCATTCTCAGTTAATTTTTGTATAAAGGGTGAGACTTAGCTGAAAGTAAAATTTTTTTAGCTATTAATGTTCAGTTATTCCTTTTGTTAAAAAGCTATCCTTTTTCTACTGAATTACTTCAGTACCTATATCAAAAATCATTTGGCTTTGATTGTTGTGTAAGTCTGTTTCTCTGTTCTCTGTTAACCTATGTGTCTATCCTTCTGCAAACAAACATTAAGGTAGTGTGATTCTTCCCATTTCTTCAAAATTATTTTAGCTATTCTAGTCCCTTGACATTTCATTATAAATATTAGATTAGAATACTCTTATCTATATGAACAAAAACATTCTGGATTTTTATGCATTTTTAAAGGTTTCATATAATTTGTTAAACCTATAGACTAACTTGGCGGTAACTGACATCTTTACTGTGTTGTCGTCAATTCATGAGCAGACTCTCTCTCCATGATTTCATCAGCACTTTTAGTTTTTTTAGTACAAGTCTTATATGTTTTGTTAGATTTATGTATGTGTGTGTGTGTGGTTTTGGTTTTTTTTTTTTTTTTAGCAATTCCAAATGGCATTGTATGTTGGTTTCCACATGTTCATTGTTAGTCTTAAAAAGTGAGTTCTAATTCTGCATGTTGATCTTGTAGCCGACAATCTTGCTGAAGTCACTTATTAGAAGTTTTTTTGTACAGTCATGTCACTTGCAATAAGTACAGTTTTGTTTTTTCCTTTATAAATCATATGCTTTTATTTCTTGCCTTCTTGTGCTAGCTAGAAGTACCTGTGTGATGTAGCAAAGGGCATTCTGAGCTTTAAAAAAAAAATCACTTTGATGAAGGTTTAGAAAGTTTTTGGAATTATTAATAGAATATCAAACGATAAATAAATACAGAATCAATTCTCAAAATTTAAATGGTATTTTTTTGCTTTCAAAATACCATAAATCTATCCTTGCTAATTTTTTTTAACGTTTGAATTATTTATTCTCAGTACAAGTCCAGAAATCACTGGATGGCACAAATGGTCACTAAAAAGGTTGGCATTTAAATCCACACAGCAGCACCATGAAATAAATGCCTGACAATCTGCTTCCATTAAGATTACAAACAAGAAAACTCTAGGGAGCCGTTCTGCTCTGTAATACATGGGGTCTTCTGAGTCACAAACTAGCAACAAAAAAGGAAAAAAATCAAGACTGGCACCTCACTCACTGCAAGTCCAAGTCTAATGTTGGTATACTGATTTTTCTCATAGAGAGAAATACACTAATTTGTTTTTACCGACTCTAAATTGTCTTTCTTGTGTAAGATATTTATTATTTTTTAATTCAGGGTTCTGAACAAGGTTCAGCTAGTCAAGAACAGGCCTTATCTGCTCAGCAAGCTGCTGTTATTAACCTTACTGGAGTAGGAAGTTTCATGCAGTCCCAGGCAGCTGGTAGGTATCATCATAACTTCATATGTTGGATTTACTAGAAGTATCTATATATGATCTCGCCATCTCAATTATTTCGGTTCCTTCCCATGTAAACAGTAAACTATGAAAAAGTAGTATTTATCAACTATTAACTTGATTAATTAATGGCTGAGATTTAATTTAATTGCCTATTAATTAAAAGATCGTTGGCTTTTTTATTAGTAACAACACTTAAGACCTTTCCTGATGTTACATTTTACTGGCAAAATTTTACAAAATTATCCAACTTCCTAGGCAGCTATGAAAATTTGTTGTAGTATTTGCACGTGTAGTTACTTTAATAACGCTTTGGTTTTACAAAATTATTGAGACTGCCTTTCTCTAGACTACATAGTCTTTTGTATCATGCTGATAGCCTATAGTTGCTTGAAATAAATCTTAATGGTTAATAGCCTAATTTCTGGCAGCCACTTTTATCATTTGCAAAAATAATTAAATGATTGTCCACCACTTCTAACAGTAAGTGGTGAAACAGAAGTTTATCTTTAATGAAGATGACCTTGTCAATTAAAGACAACAATTCTAACTTTACATCTAATTAAAATCAGCAAGTCCATATATATATATATATAAGAAAGCTGATGGAGTTTGAGGAAGATACCTTTAAATTCCTACAATTCCTAGTTTAGAACAGAATAATCAGTCTTTGTTTTCTGAATAAGTAGTTCTTAACATAAATCCTAATTTACAGCTAGTGAACTTCTAAGTGAAAATCTGTAATTATACACTTTTACCACACAAGTTACAAATTGTCTAAAATAGCTGTAATGTGATTCAGTGGAAAGAACTCTCAAGCTGAAAAATGATGAGGATGCTTCTAGGTTGATTTGCCACTAATTACCTGGGTGACTAAGTCATTCATTCAGATCATCTAGGCCTTAAATTTTCTCATTTGTATAATGAGGACGTCGTACTGTGATTAATATGGTCCCATTCAGCTGGAAAAGTAATGCATTCTTAGTATGCAACGTTTGTTGTTAATAGTGATGTTTCATGTTCATTGCAATGTCCTTTGCTTTGAAGCATTCATCTCTTTTCCGGTCTTGCCATTATGGGTTTGCACATCACCAATCTTTTTTTATTTTTCCTATTTAATTGGCAATATTTAAAAGTAATGTATCTTACATTGTCAAACAAAGCCTTCTAAGCAAAACAGGACTAGTAGTATCAAATTCTTTCATGCAAAATAGAGGGATACAGTGCTTTGGTAATGTGTGCTCTCTTCCCTTTCCCTGTCCAGGAAGTTCCATAATCATGGTGCCCTTCAACTAACAGAAGACTATACTAAATTTACTCTGAAATGTCTGTGATTTGATACTTACGATTAATCATACTGATAACTTTTCTATTGTTTCATTTTCTATGTTGTCCTTTTCTAACCCTGGTAGCCTTCAAACTTTTTGACTGCCCTGCTTTCCCCTTCTCCTCTCTGTAGTGTTGTCTCAGCTTGGCTCTGCCGAGAACAGACCTGAGCAAAGCCTTCCTCAGCAGAGATTCCAGCTCTCCTCTGCCTTTCAACAGCAGCAGCAACAGATACAAGTAATCCAGCAACTTCACTCTAATACATTTTTTTTTAGAGATAAAATACTCAGCTCCAGAAGTACCTCAATATACCTTGCTTTAGTTTTAGTTTTTACTGTCTTTTAAGACTAAAAGGTAAACTGGTAAATAATTTAGCAAATTTTATTAAAAAGTCTTGACATTTTAGCTAATCAGTTTGGAGCACTGAATATATTTTGTGCATTTAAGCCATATTCTTTTCTAATGTGAAATCTGAAGAAGTACTGGTGGCACATTACCAAGTACGGTTTTCTACTTTCCAGTATATTTCGAAATAAAGACTGTTCTGAGTGCCAGTTGTTAACTTTTTAATACTGTACTGCAGAAAGAGGCAAGTATACCAGTGTTCCTATTAGTAAATGTCATAACCTGTTTATTTAGAAAAATGTTACTCAGTTACTTTTGGAAGTACAATCAGCATATTATAGTTGACTATCTTGATATTCAGGGTGCTTTTATATTGCTGTAAAATATCATACAACAAAATGGTAACTGAAGTTGCTGAGTTACTGCAATGTAGACTGACAGGGCAAGTTAACAGAAATAATTTTTTAAAATTTACCAAGAATCGTATTTTAAAGCCCTCAGCAGGCTTCTGTGCCACTGGTGCTGTTTGACTGTGCATTGTCTCAATGTGGTATAATCTCTTTTTGTTATCTTGGTGCTTTCTCCTTTTCAATTTTGTTTCATCACTCTCAAGAAAAGCATCTTCCCATACCTGCCTACATTTAACATAACTTTTCCCCCTCCTTTTGGCAGCAGTTGCGATTCTTACAGCATCAAATGGCTATGGCGGCAGCAGCAGCACAGACAGCTCAGCTCCATCATCATCGACATACAGGCAGCCAGTCAAAAAGTAAAATGAAGAGAGGCATGCCAAGCACTCCAAAATTCTGAGTCTTGCATTTTTTTTCCTGTTCTTTGAAAAGACAAGAGCATTGAATCAAAAGGATTCTGAATTTTTACTTCACATTTTTGTTTCATTTTTTAATGTGTCAGTATTTTACATTGCTAGATGTACAAACTTTATACAGAAGCACCACCCTATGTTTTTTTTAAATAAAAACAGAGAAATGATTCAATGAATTAGGGTTGGTTTGCCTAAGTCATTGCTTTTTAAAAAATGGTTTCACTGTACATAATATATATATATGGAAGTGACCTAAAAAAATACTAGAAACATCTTTCAGAACAATGTAGTTTGATATTTATTTAGTATAAAAGGTTTGTGCACAATGTTAACAAATATAGTTTTTACAAATCTGTTTTAAACTGTGGTGCTTTATTTGGGTTTCATACTCTGAATTACTTCATCCATTAGTTTTTTTACTTCTTTGTGTCTTGTAACTGCTCGGCTCATACAGTCCTGAAGTTTTGCACCAGTCAGCCCACTTCCACCTATAAAAAATTATTGTACCAACTCTTTTAACCTCTTAGTTAACAAAGATTGTGAAAAGATCACTGTAAGGTCATTTTAAAAAATGGACAATGTACAGCAGCAGTATGGTCTTAAAACTAGAAGCATCAAAATTATCTGGGAACTTGTAAGAAATGCAAGTTCTTGTTTCAACAAGAACTATACACCAAAGTTGAAGAACTACTGATAAACATAAAAAAGTAAGGATCTGAGGTAGCAAGGCAGGTATATTGAGTTGACTTTACTGGTAAACAGTGAAACATCCCACATTCCATTTAGTCCTCCCTAATATGAAGAAGCTCCCACAGACTTTTCATCAACATATATTTAGGACTTAAATGGAAGGAACATGCCTGGTTTGTAAAGACAACATAGCTTGCCTCCTGTATCCATTACTATTGTTAAGGTTCCAGTTGCCAGATGTTCCTCTTCTCCAGTAGGGTCTACTATGAGTAAAGTGCTATTTATAAAAAATTAAAAGTAAATTATTAGTCCATGGAACCAATTTTGTTTAAAAAAATACTAAGCATACTACCTACATTTCAACTTAGGTATTGATACCAGACATTAAGAGCTAGCACATAACCAGCAAGAAACCAGAAGAGTTAATAATGACTGAAATTCTATTAAGAATTTTTTCCCTTCAGTTTGTGGCTATATTAAAGTCCTTGGCAAATACTGAAGGTAGCCTCAGGTAAATCTTTAGTGAAAGAACTGAAAATTACCATTCTATAGGAGAATAGATAAGGTGACCACAGAATTGATGCTCCAAATCAGTATACTTTTGAAAATTTAAAAGTTGGCTAGTAATAATTGTTCAGGGAAAATAGCTATAAACTTGGTTGTCCATGGCAAGCCAGAATATGTATGTTACCTTTGACATTCATGAAAAGTCAGAAAGCTCAGTAACAATCCATTGCCTTCAAAACAGAATTTGATTAACTTACTCATCAAATATAGCAAAGGAAGTTGCAACTGGATAATTTCTAATATTCAAATGACTTTTCTTCTTTAAATTAACTTCTGCTAAAGCAGTTTCTTCATTTATAGTAACTTCAGGCAACTGTACTAGAAAAAGGCAAGTAAATATTAAATGTTAATATGTCTCCCACTCTAGTGTAAGTAAAAGATAACTTTCTATGTTTTGTTAATTCACTTTTCCTTTATTGAATTTGTCCAGAAGTATTCTTCTAACAAAAATAATCTTAGAATAAGGATATAGTAAATATAAACATTGTATTTCAGAACATAGGACATTGCAGCCTAAAGACTACTTTCTTCAAAGAGTTTACAAAATCAAAATGAGTTGTTAATATTAAGTAACAGGTTTAACTGCTTTCTGTAGGCCAGGTACTTTGTAAAGCATTTTCACTGGGTTAATACATAGAATCATCAACATTCCTATAAAGTGGGTACTATTACCCCATTTTATAGATAAGAAAACTTCAGCAGAGGTGGCAGATTAGGCTTCAAATTGAGTCCTCACTTTAATCACTGAACTAATATTATAAAATCAAACCATTTGCCACTGAGGTGATTCCAACTCATGGTGAACTCCATCTGTTACAGAATAAAACTGCTTCATAAGGTTCTCTTGGCTATAATATTTATAGAAGCAGTTCACCAGGCCTTTCTTCTGCAAAGTGGCTGAGTGGGTTTGAACTGCCAACTTTTAGGTTAGTAGACGAGCACAAACTGCTTGTTCCACTCAGGATCCTCAGTAATATAATACTCCTATGCTAGCTAAATTTTGTAACTCCAATGGGTTCTATATCAATTCAGCAATACGAAACATGTATAAGTCATTAACTATAACCTGTCTAATTAGACTCCTAAGAAATTTTACTGTTAAAAAGGAAATCTATGGCCTTATAGTGAAAATCCTTTCTGGTAACATTACATAAAGCAGAGAACTCACATAATACTTGTAGAATCTTCCCAACCACCCAGATAGCAGTTAAAACTCTTCCTCCCATATTAACTACACTGTAGAGGACTGACGTCTCAACACAATACATGGGTATAACAATTGAAATAACACTAAAAGATATTCAGTTAAAGAATATAAAACTTCCAAGTATATTTGGAAAGTCATGTAATATTACATTCATACTTGAATGATATCTAAATTTTAACAAAAACCTTTAGTTTATTGAGCAGATATACATAAAGTTTCACAAAAAAATCTGATCCATTAGCAGGAAGATTGCTTGCTTACCATTTTTTAAAGCAGCTAACAAAGCAAACGTACAGGCATCCAAAATGTTTCCATCATAGTCAAGGCAAATGAGGTCACAGTACAGAACCCAAGCAAGCTAAAATAGTTTACACAAAAAAGAAATGAGTATTCTGATGGATAGAACATACTACTTGCTTTGACATATGAACCATAGAACCTTTGGTTAGACAACCTTAAAGAATGATTTTCCCTTATAAAATAGAAAACTAGATTTGGTGAAAGCTGAATTTTGACCACCCAGCTAGCAAGTGAATAGAATGTCTCAATTTCCTTCAATGGGGCTATAGATGTAGATTCTGGTTACTAGGTTAGCAGATAAGGAAAATGCTTTTTAAAGCCCCAGCTAACTCAAAATACACTTTCCCATAGAAACCTTAGTACAGAAAATGCTTAGGTTTTACAAAGCTAACTATCAGTATATAAACCAAAACAAACTCACTGTCTGTCATCGACTCGGTCCCAACTCATGGCAACCCCTCCTAAGGTTTCCAAGGCAGTATCTCTACGCAATTAGATCGCCCAATCTTCTGAGGAGTGGCTGTGGGTTTGAACCACCAGCCTTCTGGTTAGCAGTCAGATGCCTTAGGCACTATGCCACCATAGCTCCCCTCTCTAAACCCAAAACCCCAGCCATCTAGTTGATGCCAACTGATAGCAACTCTGTAGGACTGTAGAGCAGGACAGTAGAGCTGCCCCATAAGATTTCCAAGGCTGTAAATCGCCACAGAGGCATCTCTCCTGCAGAGCAGCTAGTGGGTTACCAATATTTTTGTTGGCAGCCAAGTGCTTTAACCACTGTGCCACCAGAGCTAGGTTCTAGTAAATTTAGTTTTAAATTTTCAAGTCAACTTTGGGAATTTATCACATAGATTCACCTTAAATATGATCTGAAATCAAGGAAAAAATAAATTATCTCCACTTAAAACCAACCCCTCAGTCAGGAAATAGTCAAAACTGTTTTTTATGAGCTAGCTAGCTAGTTTTTCTTTAAATCATCAGACTAAGGCTGACATTTTTACTGAATTCCATCTAAAAATAGTAGGTTAGCTATATTTAAGGCCTCTGGTTTAATTAATTCTACTTTTACCCCCCAAAATCACTTCAAAATAATAATGAAAAAGCCCATTGCTCTTACCTTTCCTTGAGAAATGCATAAGTCCTCTTTCTGAATTATCTGTGAACTTTATATAATGACAGAGCATAGTAAATGAAAGATTAAAACTATATGAAAAGGAACAATAATCAAATTTTATGATAACGATCTTACTTTTCAATGACATCTGCAATGAACTGGCTAGCCACTTGGGCCTTTTCCCCAGGAGGTCCAGACCGAAATCTCGATGAACACAGAGGTGGTAGGTCCACGTTAGGAACTAAAAGAAACATTCCATAGCTATGAACTAAATTACCATCGGGTGCATGTAAGTGTTAAAAGTATTTGCAGCCTATCGCAAAGGTAGCTATAGGAGCTCTGTTAGCATAGTGCCTAAGGTACTTGACAGCTAACCAGAAGGCTATCGGTTCAAATCCAGCAGCCACTCATCGGAAGAAGGTTGGGCAATCTACTTCCATAGTGATAACTGCCTCAGAAACCCAAGGAAGGGTCACTATAAGTCAGGTCCGAATCCACGGCACATAACAACACAAAGGTAGCTATAGCCATGGATACGCTTTCCAAGTAGAAACCATAGTAATGTTTCAATTATATTCTTTTTCTGGTCTTCATAAGATTCCTTGGGCTTAGAAAAAAATTAAATTTTTTCCAAATTTTTTTTCATACAAAGAATAAAATACAGAAAGAGAAAACCAAAGCATCTACATTAGGCCTTACTCCTCCCTAAACTTTCCAGAGTTTTCTAGATTTAATACAAAGATAGCCTATCCACACTCAACTGGTTTTGTATTTTTAAAATGTTTTCTACAATACAGAACAGAAGGTCCAAGAGCAGAAAAAAAGTTGCACAGCACTAGAATCATTTTGGAAACAGAATAGTTTGGGATATCTAAGTGTATAAACAAAAATTAATGACTGAATGAAAAACAATGCTTCAAAATTTCCAAAGAAACAAAATCAGTAAGTTAAAATACATTCCCTATATAGCTATCCTACAAATGAAATTTTGCTTCTTTAATCCATAAATAACAACTTTGATAAAGGTTAACTTTATAAAATTCTTTATCTTGCTATTATGCTGTTATTACATGTACAGAAAACTTTAGGAATGTCAGATTCATTCCTGTATATTCCTGAATCTTAGGAATATTTTTCTTCTTCAACTCAAATAATTACTATAACTTAACTACCATATCAGTATTAAATATGTTAAAAGTATTTGTATTAAAAGTACAGAATCATTAACTTACCTACATATCCTTTATCAGGGGCATCCGTTGATGGTGCTGCAAATTCCTATGAAAGCAAACAAACGTTTCCTATTGAAAGCAGCTACTCAGAACTGTGAAGACAGTTTGCAGTCAGTTATGGAAGGCTCTACACCACATCATTAGTACCTGGAGAATTATGCCAGCGTGTGGTGGCTCTGATCCTCACAATAGTTCTGAAAGTTTAGAAGGCAGTACAGTACTGCTCATTAAAATTACCTGGAGATCTTTGACAAATATCATTTGGATGGTTGCCACCCCCCCACCATTCAGTAGCAAAGAATCTGAATTTAATATGCAGGTGGTACTGGCACAGGCAGATTTAGTAACTGCTGGAGTTTGGTTTGGGGCGGGGGGGATGTAATACTCAAGGCTCTCTTGCGCACAGTGCCTAAGGCATTTGGCTGCTAACCAGAAGGTTGGTGGTTCAAACCCACCAGCCAGCCACTCTGCAGAAGGAAGACTGGGCAATCTACGTCCTTAAAGATTTATTGCCTCAGAAAGCCAATGGGGGTTGCTATAAGTTGGAATCAACTCAATAGCAGTGGGTCTGGGGGGTTGTGTGTGTAAAATACTCAACAGCAAAGGCTTTTAAAAGAACTTAGGCAAGTTATTGAACCGCTAACCTCCAATTTCCTCATCTGGAAAATGAGAAGAATAGTGCCTACTCCAGGGCACTATTGTGAGGGTCAAATGAGAATGTACATTAAGTACCTAACACAAAACCTGGCAAGAAGTAAATGTTCATTTAGTGTTAGTTATCACCCCAGTTTTACGCAGGAGGAATCTCAACTTAGGTTAAACAACCCAGCGTAGTGTAGTAAAAAAAAAACACAGGCTTTCGAACCAGATTTATGTTTATTTATGAACCTTGTATACCTGAACAAGTTATTGAACGTCATCTATAAAACAAACGAGACAGAGAAATAATACCTCAAATGATTATTCTGAGGATTAAGCCAATAATTGTGTAAAACACCTAGCAAAGAGCCTGGAATTTAGTAGATACTTTATCAGTGTTCTACACATTTTACACAAATTAAATGCGATCATTAGTTAAAAGAATGCTGCCAAAAATCCCTCTAATTTGCAATGACATAATTTCTAAAAATAAAGGGTGGGAAAATTAAAATTAGTTTCGTTTTGGTACATCTGACATATAGCCACAAATTATAATTAAGAGTCATTAAACTTAGACTGTATTATGGGTGGTAGAAGCTATTTGAAAATGAAATTAAATATTTAACAACTGACCCTTACCTAGCTAATCAAGAGTAGAATTCTAAATGTGTATCACAATCCAATAAATCTATAGAGCTACTTGGGTAATTCACATCAATAAGATACATATTAAACCTACCGCTTTAATACCACAAATTACTGTCGTATTTCCCAGCTTCACTAAAGCAGAACCATCTGCAGTACTAATTGAACCTGAAAAGGTAAGTATTTAGGTAAAATGAAAATGTTCATTAAAAGGAAAAAACAAAAAGCTACAGATTATATAATAACTAAAATTAAATATTAACTAATTTTCTAAATACCATTTTAGCTTTCTACATATCTACAATTTCAGCTGCTTACAGAAATTTATCCCTAGACTCAGGAGTCATTGATTTAGAAATGGTATGACTATTTAAAATTATTGTTTTACCAAATAATTGCTTGTCCTTGAATTTGAGTTAATCATTTTTCATTCACTCAGAGGAATGTTGGACAGGTAAATCTCATGGTTAAGAAATCATCCAAATTCCTTAGATTTGGTAGGATTAAGCTGAAGTATGTTTAAGTGGCTCACAGGCTAGAACAATGCTATACAGATGAAATTGGAAAATTCCGTATGTGCAACAAGAAGATATAATATGTATTAGACACAAGAAAACCACATCTGTGTGGTTGTGAAGGAAGTGGAAAAACACTTGACAGTTAGTTTGAAATTTAAATGTATTTATCAATTAAGGGTAGCAGGTTAAAAAAGGAAAGTTTACGAATAAAAATTCTCTACTAGTATACAGAAACTATACTATTTTAAAAACTCAAAATATCTTTCAACATCCTATTTTAGAACTCCATATAGCCTCACCTATATTGACAGTGGTGGTTCTGAATTCACCAAGTTCTCTTCCATCGGGACGGCAGTTCTCTTTCTAAATAAATATAATGTTTATGTATATGAAAATAAAATACATGTTTACTTTACACAATCTGGTAAACAAACCATGTTAATGTAAAATACAAATCCAAATAAATCAATTTGAATTATTTGAAATGTGTTCATAATAGCGGCATGTGATACCATCAAAAAGACATTAACATTACTGACCAAAAATCTTCTGTAATATTCCAGAGGTTCCACGGTTCTGAAACACATGAGTTAAAAATTCATCAGGTAAGTTAATGAATATTAACAAAAATTCCAAAACTGCAAGGATCTTAAGGTTCTGGTGATTATGCCAATCTCCAAAATTTGTAAGTAAATTTCTTTCATGAATTCTGATGTATATCTTGCCACCTACAAGTAATTATAAAAAATAGAGCCCTGTTACAGTAGCAGTTTTACTCAATTGGTCCTCTTCATTCTTCCTGAAACAATTATAAGAGACCAAAGCCCCTGGACATTTTCAAAAATGGATTAATCCAAGTGTTAAAATAATGCCATCCTTGCTCTGAAGCTGAGATTTCTAACCTAGTGCGCATGTAAATGTTACATCTTTATTTTCACTATCCTGCAACTGAAATGTAGCGTATCTTTCAATTATGACTGTAGGCAATAAGCTAAAATAATACTAGTAGTACCTATATTTTAACACAAGTATTTTCCTTTTAAATTTTAGTTGTCGAAGGTACTTTAGGCTGACCACTACTTTGAAATTCCAGTAGTTATTATATTAGCCAGTAAATCTTGTTTGTTGTTGTTTTGCTGTCGAGTCGGCCCCGACTCATAATCTTGTTTAGACTCATAAATCTTGTTTAGTTCGTTTTAAAACTGACACATATTACTCTATCAAGAATTTGGAGTTTATACAGATACATAAATATATTTCAATATCATTGGCTTCCTCTGGTAGCCTACTTATCCATTTAAAAACAATGGTCTTGGGCGTCCAAAGGGTTCACCCAAACGGCACAAAAGACTTAATCAAAACCTTCCGAACCCGGCATAAAGCTTTTAGAAATAACGCGGAAGAAGGGGGTTGCGCGTGATTCAGATGCAACGAGTTTTAAAAGATCACAATTGTGTCTCCTGGGTCCGCAAGTCCACCTACCAAGCTCACAAGCGCTCACAATAGCTTTAGAACTCTACGCACAAGGTTCTTTCGGTCTCCAGTCCCAATGGGGAAAAGCCCCCTTTCTTTTCATGACGTACACCCAGGTCGCCTGTTTCGCCGCACAAAGAAATGAGACCCTGGCCCGAACTGCTTCCAGGTAAGAGAGTCTTAGCTAAGAAGCTCCACAGGGCCGACACACGAACCTGCGGCGGCTAACCCCCAGGACACTAAACTCCCGCCCACCGGCCTCCGACACTCACTTGAACCCAGCCGCCATCTTTCCGCCCGCACGCATGTGCCCGCGATGGGTCCGCCTCCTCACTTTCCTCACCAGCGCCGGCGCCCTTCTCCCGCCTCAGAAGGAGCGGAAGACCAGAAGGAGACGAAGATTGCCTCGGGTCACGGTCACAGCCTTCGGATCCGTGACCCTTAGCCAGATGGTCTGGTAGTTTTTCTTGCCTTTGATGTGTTTTGACGAATCTCCTAATAGAGAAATGACGAGGAGTCCCTCTATAGAAACACGCTTCTAGTTAAGAGCAAAACCAAGAATTTAAGAGAAATTTTTTTTTTATAATTATAGCACAGAAACGAGTGACGATTGTGGAGCATTATTCCAATGTCTCTTGTCCTTTCCCATCTTTGTTGTAGGCTGGGCCTGGAGCTTGCCTCTTCCCTAGAGCTCCCTGCTGTACGATTATTAGTACCAAACTCCACAGATTACCGAGCCAGAGAAGATTCCAAGAGGCTCCAAGGGATCAGCTTGTGTTGTGTAGACTGTCATGGCTCACGGCCTCTGCCATCCTACATAGGGTTGCCACTTAGATAAAATACTGGACAAACCCGCTGCCATAGAGTTGATTCCAATTCATAATGACCCTGTGGAACACAGTAGAACTACCCCATAGTATTTACAAGGCTGCAATTTAATGGAAGCTGAAGCCAATTGCCATGTCTATCTACTGTGGAATGGCTGGTAGGTTCAAACCTCCAAGGGTTTTACCATTGCTCCACCAGGGCTCCTGAAATACGGACACCAAGTTAAATGTGGATGTCAGCTAAACACTTCAATATGAGTGAAAATATTGCATGAGACGTACTTACGTTAAAAAGTTATTGTGAGGTAAGAGCAAGCTTGCTGGTCTGATAGAGGCTGGTGAAACCCCCGAGACTATGGCCGCTAGTCACCCTTTGAGCCTGGAATTGAACTCTAGCTGCTGTAGGCAGCTATGTAAGGATAGCATTTATACCAGTTAAGTGCCTGAGGCACTTGACTGCTAATCAGAAGGCAGGCTGTTCAAACCCACCAGCCACTCCTCGGAAGGAAGGTTGGGCAATCTACTTCCGTAGTGATACTGCCTGGGAAACCCAAGGAGGGGTCGCTATGAGTCGGTGGACTCCATGGCAGTGAGTTTGGTTTTGGTTTGAAGTACACTCAATCATTCATGGGAAATCAGAACAGCAGCAGTTGCACAGGGAGGTAGCTCAGAGGGCAGGAATGCGTAGGAAAGAAAGACATATGGAAAAGGTAACCTCGGGGAGAAAGTGGGAAAAGAGCTGATACATTATGGGGTTTGCAATCAATGTCATGAAACAAAACGGAAAATGAATTTTCTGTGTAAACTTTCACCCAAATCACAATTGAAAATTTTAAAAAAGGTATTGATTGTTTATCTAAAATTCATGTTTAAGTTAGCGTCCTGTATTTTCATTTGGGAAACTTGGCAATCCGCGTTAAGGAACCGTGAGCCTGAACGCTTCCTACACTGCACTGCTACTTTCTAGCGTCGCCGCGCGGGGGCGCTGTGGCCGGCGGGCGCAGGACGGCGTGGCCTCTCTGGCAGCCGGAGGCGGAGCCCGGCCGCTCTTCCGCGTGTGTGTAAGGGTACGATAGGGCGGCGGGCGCAGCCCGGGTGGCTTTCCTGGCATGGAGGATGGCGCCGTTCCTGCTGCAGCTGGTGGTACTCGGCGCGGCACTAGCAGCCGCAGTCCTTATACTGGTGAGGAGAGGGATTGCGGACCGACACGGGCCTGGGCTCCCGAACGTCTGCTCCTCCGTACTGCATGTTCTTCTCTCCAAGCCTTGATCCCAGAATTTCCCTTCTCTCTCTGGGTCTTTATTTAACTTTGGATGCGCCCACCCATCCTGCCATTCCTTCCTCACTCACCTCCTGGCCCCCAGGTACATGCCCAACTGCCCTGTTGGTTTCGACCTCTCCAGGAGTTCCTTCGGAGGTTACAACTTACGCAATTCTGGACCCACCCGAGAAGGTCTTAGACCCTGAGAATGCATGTGCTTTCTGGACTCGCTTTTCTGTTGATGTGGTTAAGCAAATAAAAAGTGATAACGGAGATTTGACAGGAGCCACGCATTATAGGTTGTAATAAGTCAGTGACACAGGGTGATCAGAAAAGATGAGGCCTAGGCGCATCACGTTACCATGTGTTTGTGAGTTGTTATCTTTCAGAATTAATCAGCTTACATTTTTCTGTCACTGAAAGAGGCAACACAATAGAATTCAAACTGAGATTTTCTTTGCCATTATTCAGGAAATACAAAAAACATTTAGTTAGTAAGTGGAGAAAAGTTTCTCATTTTTAACATTCAGTTGAGCGGCCTTTCCAGTACTACCAGGATGAGACCTCACTGTGTGTGCATGCTGGGGATCCAAGTTGAGAGAAATCTGCGAGTGGACTGAATTTTCTCTATGGGTGTTCTCTAGTAGATCTGCTGTAACAGAGGCCTGAGAGGCTTGTGGAATGCTAGGTGGAAAGAAACAAAAAACCTCCTGCAGCTTTAGCAACTAGCTGAGTAGAAAGAACTTAACAGTTCATAAGTGTAAGGTTCAGGTGCAGGGAGAGAGAAATCAGGCCAATAGAGTTTTGAAAGAAAGTTTATTAAAGCATCTACATGCAGATGGGCTGAGATCAACGATCCATCAGTCCTGAGCTGGGGGAAGTTGCGAGGTTTAAGTAGGGTGGCAAGAAGTTTATCAGCAGTTCTATTGTGGGAGAATAGACCATGGCTGTCTTGGTAGCAGTAGTCAAGACAGCTGATGTTTAGTTGTGTTCTTGTAAGCTTCAGTCATTCTTTGTGGTTCTGTCTTGTCTACCCAGTTCTTAGAACTGGCTTGTGACCACTGTCCTGTTAATTCAATTTCATTTTTGGAGAGAAAAAGTATTAGGATTAAAGCATAAAAATAACATGAGAATTCTAAGTCAAGGCTTTTATCTATTATATCTGTCAATAAGTAGTGCACTGACAGTCTTCCAGTTTTAGAGTCACCTCCAGACCATTTCTAAGACAATGAAAACAGAATGAGTATCAAAAATTGGTTGCCATTCACCTGATTCCAACTCATGGTGACCCCAGGTGTGTCAGAGAACTGTGCACCATGGCCAGAACTTTCAGTGGGTGATTTTTAAGATGTAGATTGCCAGGCCTTTCTTCTGAGTTGCCTCTGGGTAAAAACTCAAACTTCCAGTCTTTTGGTTAGCAACCAAGCATGGTAAGCACCCAGGACTCCAGAGAGTGAATATTCCACTCTAAATAAATAAATAAATAAATAAATGATGCATTCTAACAAAACATGTAAAACAGGTTAGTATAACATTTCTTTTTTACATACCTGCTTTTAGATTTCCTTTGTTGCATTTATAACTGCTGTGAAAATGCCACACCTTCATCAACATGAAGACGAGAAGTTCTTCTTAAATGCCAAAGGCCAGAAGGAAACTTTACCCAGCATATGGGACTTGCCTACCAAACAGCTTTCTATTGTCGTCCCTTCATACAATGAAGAAAAACGGTGTAAGCCCTATTTGATTTTTTGGTAAGGAGTAATTTCAGATGAAAAGAAAATTTAAGGTATTGGAGTTTATTCTATTTGCAGAACATTCATGGATGTGGACTGTGGTGAGTGGTATAGATGGTGATTGTTGTAGAAATGAACAGGACTAAGCATGAGGAAGTAGGACCAGATATATTCTAGAAAGGTAATAAGACATGAACAGAAGACAGAGGAAGACAGTCCAGGTGGAAATGACCATTGGGGCAAATCCCAAAGGGGCTAGTTAGAGTCTTCCAACTTTATCCATATATAAACTGGTGTGGTCATTTTTAAAAGTGATTTTTAACATTTTTTCTTTCAGTGCCTGCAATGATGGATGAAACTCTGGGCTATCTAGAGAAGAGACAGGTACCATATTTTCTCTTTTAATTTGATGTCCACTCCTCGGAAGGAAGGTTGGGCAATCCTACTTCCGTAGTGATACTGCCTCGGAAACCCAAGGAGGGGTCGCTATGAGTCGGGGCCGACTCGACGGCACATAACAACAACAACAACAAATGAAAATCAAAAGAGCTCTGGTGGCATAGTATCTAAGGCAATGTGACTGCTAACCAGAAGGCTGACAGTTCAAACCCACCAGCCACTCCTTGGAAGGAGGGTTGGGAAATGTACTTCCATAGACCAGGTCACCCAGGTTAGACCTTGTGTGAGAGAGGAGAAAGCGAACTCCCCACAGCCAGCTGTGCATGGGGCATCCTGATTGCTGCCCCACCAGACTGCTCTGTTTGTAGCTGACCATCAGCGTTTAGCAGGCAAGCCTAGCATGTAGCACACCACCTCCAGAGGCAGGTGAGAACCCCCAAGACAAACTAGAAATGAAGTTTCTCTTGTGTACCTGCACATACACTGTTTATTCTGTCTTACCTGATGATATATTTAAGATTGAGTGACAGCATATCTGAGACTTTATATAATGACACAATGCTGTTTTCACTTCTGTGATTTTTTAAGAAAAGGGCTTACTTTTAAAAGCATTTTAATTACAGTGAAATTATCTTGTGTTTCTTTATTATTCTCAAGAATCTCCCCTCAGGGGAGTGTGCCCATCACCACATATAGGGTGGGCAGACAATGTTTCTACAAGTGTATTTGTATGTTTTATAAGAATTTCCAGGTATATAGTAGAGCTGACAAGGGAAGGTTGTAGTCACTTCTTGGCCACAGCCAGCTACCCAGAGGGAGCAAGTAGTTGGACCTGTGGGCTCAGGACCATGGTTGCAAGGGACATCAAGCTCAAATGGCATAAAATACTACACAAAAATATTGTTCCACATCCTACTTTGGTGAGTAGTGACTGGAAACTCAAAAACTTGCAAGTGGCCATCTACATGCAATGATGGGTCTATCCTCATCCAGAGCAAAAAACAATGAAGAAAATCAAAGATTCATGGAAACAATTAGTCCAAAGGACAAGTACACCATGTGATCCTCAGCCTATACTACTATGAGACCAGAAGAACTAGATGGTTCCTGGCTATCAATGTCAGCCACTCAGAGAGGGATCGTTGTAGGAGATCTTGGATAAAGTGGGAGAAAAATGTGGAACAAAACTGAAAATAATTAAGGACTAGGTTTGTTGGTCTGATAGAGCCTGGGGAAGCCCCTGAGACTATGCCTCCTACCTGCCCTTCAGTTCTGGAATTGAACCCATTCCTGTGGCTTCCAGCCAAATAAAAGACAGGCATATGAGCTGAACATTTATATTAGACCTACATACACTCCTTGGAGAGATCAATCATGGGAGAATACAAGGGCTGTGTATGCATAGGGAGACAGCTGTGGGGGCAGGAGTGTATGGGAGGAAAGAACACAGGGAAGAGAGGTGGCTATGGGGAGGAAGGAGGAGGAAAGCTGTTGTATTGTGGGAGATGACAATCGATGTCATGAGATAAAGTGTATGTGAACTGCTGTATGGAAAATGAATTTGCTCTGTAAACTTTCACCCAAATCATAATAAAACTTTTTTAAAAAAGGGGGGCAGGTAATAAAACCTAGTCCATGTGACTGTGATGAAGATTATGTATAACAGAAAAAATAGAAACCTCACACTTATTAAGGGTTCAATTTTCTTCTTCTTTTCTTTGTATTTAATTTTTAAATATGTAATGGAGTCCCCATTTCAGTGAATCTTCTACTCGTCCTCTACATACACACACACAAACACACAAACTCTCTAAATCAAAGTAAATCAAAACAAGAAATTTTCTTAAAAGAACTACCCATAAAGCTCACTTCATTGTTAAAGTCCACAAGGAACAGCTGAGGCAAAAAAAGAGGGACACGTATTACTTTTCTTTTTCTGTTTATGTTGGGAAAAGATGAGAAAAATATCTGAGGGGGGATTCTTTTTCTTCCCTCCAGCCTAGCCATACCTTATCATTCAACCCGTCTGACCATCTCCATCAGTGTTTGCCTCACTGACAGTGCAGTACTTTATATGTGGAAGTTATTTCTCCTTTTTGAAAAATGAGAAGACAGGCCAAAAAAGTTAAGTTGTCCAAGGTCAGAAGGCTAAGACTTGTTGAAGCTAGCTTAAACTGTACACTGTCTGATTTCAAACCTAATCTCAGTACACTTCAGCATCCTAAAGTCTTGACTTCTTCCACTGTGTTGCAGGGGAGATGAGGGAAAGAGTAATGTGCCCACACATTTAGTCAGTATTTAACTCCTCTCTTCCTGCCCAGTGCCTTTCCTCCCTTTTGTTCTTAATCTTTCTGTTTTATGTGTATATACACTTAATTATATTTATACATATCAATTCTAAAAGAATGATTTCTTAATTTCCTTCCAATGTTATTGGAATTCTAGATGGCAGTTTTGCCTAATTGTGATATTTCATTTTTGTTTCTTGCAGAAACAAGATCCTGCATTCACTTATGAGGTGATAGTAGTTGATGATGGCAGTAAAGACCAGACTTCAAAGGTAAATAAACACACTTTTGGAATTGCCAGTAAGTAGAACATGTAGAATATTTTAGCAAGTGACAAATCTTATTTGTTCTCAGAGACCCCTAAGGCTGTGCCTCATGTTCTCCATTGTTGTAGCACAGGTAGGAGAAAGTGCAAAGGTATTTTATTTACAGAAAGTTAAAAAATTTATTTGGTGTTCGATTGAGATTACTCCATAATGCCAGGAAAGCTTAGAAAATCACCAAATGGGAAATGAACATACTCAATAACAGTTTGTTGGTCTCTTAGAGGCCCCTCTCTATCTACCAATTTATTATTCCTTTTTTCTAAGCATAATTCCCTTCTTTATGCTCCACCTTGCCTTACAGTTTCTAAACCAGTCACGCAAATAGGAAGATGCCTTCATATGTGCCACTGGGTATCAGGTATGTCCTTTGGCATGCCCACATCTAGATTTATTCATGGGAGGTAACAGTATTTTAAAGCTTTATGCCCTCTCATTCATACATTCCTAGACCTGTAATTGGATCTGGTGCACTGATCTTTGGAATGGATCACAATTAAGGCATCACTGGTAAATTACTCTCCAAACATCTTAACGTATTTATTATTAAGAAAGCTTCACATTTTCTTTGACATTCATTTCTGTAATAAGAGATTTTACTTATGCGCTACTAACGTTCTTGCTAAACAGCAACAGTTTAAATTAAAAAAAAAAAATTGCTATCAAGTCAACTTCAACTCATGGTGACCCCATGTGTTACAGAGTAGAACTGCTCCATAGGGTTTTCTTGGCTGTCACCTTTATGGAAGCTAATCACCAGGCTTTTTCTGCAGCACCACTGGGTGGGTTTGATCCACTAACCTTTAGGTTAATAATTAGGCACCATTTATACTACTTAGGGACCTATAACACCCAAAAACCAAACCTGTTGCCCTCAAGTCGATTCTAGCTCTTAGCAACTCTAAAGGACAGGGTGGAAATGATCTATAGGGTTTCTAAGGCTGTAATCTTTATGGAAGCAAACTACCACGGTCTTCCATAGAGTAGCTGGTAGGTTCAAGCCGCTGACCCTTTGGTTAGCAACTGTGTGCTTTAACTACTGTGCTCACCAGGGCTCCTTCCAGGGACCTAAAGTGGACCTTAAATATATAGGGAAATACAGTTTATTTAATTCATCATCAGAAATCATTATGTGCACAAGTGCTAGAAACTATGGGTCATACACACGACCCCATCTCTTTGTGTAATGCAACACGACTACTACAAAAAGGACATGGAGGCAACATCTTCTGACCTCCTCTAACTTCACAAGAGGAAAACAGGATAACCATCAACAGCCCAAGGCTTATTCCTGTGAGGCCAGACATGCCACCACCCTGCAGCCTTTTACCAATTCTCACATCAACCATCTCTCCCACAGCACTCACTACTTCTGTGCTGGGTTTGATAATTCTCTGCACTGGCCACACAGAACTCACTGGCAATACTTAGGATTATGGGGTTTATTAGGGAAGTAACAGGAAGTTCAGGTTCAGGAATGTGCTCAGGATGCAATTCTTCAATCAGGACAGTTTCCCCTTCACTGTGCCCTTAGCCTCTCTACCTGGTCTCTGCCCTGCTCGAGCAAGTGTTGCAAAACTCAGCTCTGCTGATAGGTACACCTAGGTGTACCCCACTTTGCCAACAAGCTTCCTGCCCAAGGGCACTCAGCTTTCTCACTCCATGGGCCAGGTGGCCCACTACTCTTGTGCTGCTTGGTTCCACTGCCACCGTCTCTCTGCCAGGGCAGTCTCTCAGCCAAGGAAATCCACCACAGTCATCTAGGGTCCAAGGATGTGCTTCACTTCCTCTCCAAATCTTCTTTCTTAATGGCAGTGAGATCCCTACCCCCTCTGCCTCTAGGAAGGCTTGTTTTAAGCCTGGCAGAGTAGTGACAAAACTAACCACTCTCAACATCAGAGTTCTACATACCTCATTTGCATGGTCCCACTTGGTAATCTTTTGGGAGTTACAAAGACTATGGCTAGAATAGCCATACAAAGTAATTCACTGCACCACAACTACAAACCCTGTCATGCAGATAAAAAATGGGGCCTAGAATAAAATGCTATAAAGAATTGGAGAGACAGGAAAGTAACTTTTGAACTAAACCTTTTGAGAGTGGTAATGAGTAGAAATATGGAGGGTAGCTTATTCAGAAATAGTATAAACAAAGGTGTAAAGGCCAGAAAGCATTGGTGGGTCCTATCTTAGGAAGAATAAGTGCTGCACTTTGAATGTGTGAGTATGACACATCAAATGTGAATGCAAAATATTTTAGGAGTTTTTTTTAAATACATGAAGGAGATGGCCTAGGAGATACGCATAGGGCACCTGCTGCTGAGATAACAGCAGAAACCTCAGCCCAGCTGAGGAAAAGCAACTTCCTGAAGAGCACTTTTCCTTGGAGGTTTTGGCACATGAATAGCAAGATGCTCTCCTAGAAAGATCAGAGGTGCCTGCTCTGCACAACAGGATAAGTTGGGGAGTGGTGAGGAAGAGGTTAGCAGGTATCCTACAGCTCCCAAGCCTGGGGGAAACAGAAAACTTGAAAGCATATTTAGTATAAATTTTTAGTAGAGCAGAAGGGAAGAAAAAAAACACAGAGACTAGCTAACTCCTAAGCTGAATATTGATTACCTGTTTAATGTCTTTTACTCTGAAGAGTCTGAGAAATATTTTAAATTTTGTTCCTGAGGTATTTACAGACAAAGGAGGCCAAATTTGTTTACAAAATACAATAGAAGAGAATATTATAATTGGACAATGACTTTTTTTTTTTTTTTCCTTTGAACTTTCTTTTTTTTTTTTATTAGGATTTGGGTGAAGATTTAAAGAGTAAATTCACTTTTCATACAGCAGTTCACATATACTTTGTCTCATGTC